CCTTCACATGTTTTTAGTAAGTAGATAGGTTACCTGTCTTTATAATTCAGGCTTCAATACCCCTACCGATTTTAAAATGACATTTGCTACTCTTGGATATTCTCATGTAACATCTAGGTACCCACTGATGGGCTCTGCAGGAAAAGCAGCTATCCATTAACTTGAGGATGGTTCTTTTTTCTAGACCAAGCTTACAGCAGAGTACACGGGTTTTCTTTAACCACAGAAATCTGACTTTATTACAGTGCTTCATCTTAGCCCTGTAGAAAGCTACAGGCACTTAAATTAATGCTCATTTCAACAAAACAGAAACTTGTTTTTCTTTATTGTTAGCCAAAGCAGGCAGCTTCTGTGATTACTGGCATCTATGTACTAGGAAAAGCTGGAAGGTTGTGATTTTCTTCCCCTGAAACAGGTTATACAGCCTAGGAAGAGTTTTCTAAACTTTTAAAATAGATTCTGAGACCCTCCCAGACCCTGCTAATGTTCCCTAGTTCATGATTAGCAGATTATATTCTCCCTCCCCCTGACTGTCTACTTTTCACCAAAATTAGCATAAAGATTCCCAGGGTTCATTACTTCCTTGGGTCCCAATGTCATGTGAAACTTAAAACTTTTATGCTGTGCTCTTGTTACTGTTTTTTTGTGAGGATGGGTAAGGAAAAGATGCTTTGCTTCCCCTATGGTTGGTTTTCACTGGGCACTCATTGGTGAACTTACAAAGTAGGACTGGCCAGACTCCTAACACCCAGAGACACACAAAGAGTTATCTATAACTCCAAGTAGTTTGTCTTTGAAATCAGCTAGGGAAAGGCACGATGGTTACAAGCATATGGAAAATTGTGTGGACAGCTAAGAACAAAAAACAATACTATAGTTAGCTTGACTTAAAACTGTAACACAAATCCTAATCGGTCTTAATAAAAACCTGGAGCCAGATATTGGGGTAAATGCTCAAAGATCAGAGAGACAAAGGAATAAGACAAAGCCACCTCTCACCTCACCAACTCTTTAGCCAAAAGGACCGAGTTCCTGTCTCTTCCTGCCTTATATTCCTCTCTCTGCCTAGTCATATCACTTCTTGTCTCAACTTCCCTAGTGCTGGGATTAAAGGCATGTGTGTCTCCCAAGTACTGGGAGCAAAGGCATGAGATCCCAAGTACTGGGATTAAAGGTGTGTGCCACCACTGCCTGGCCTCTATAGCTAACTAGTGGCTGGCTTTGCCTTCTGATCTCCAGGCATGCTTTATTTGTTAGAGCATACACAAAAATATCACCACACAAAAGTGGTCTTAAAAGGCTGGGCTTGGGGCTTGGAGAGATGGGTCAGTGGTCAAGAGCACTGGCTCAATTTCTAGCACCCATGTGACAGCTCACAACTATCTATAACTCCAGTTTCAGGGGACCTAACACCTTCATATAGACATACATGCAGGCAAAACACCAATACACATAAAATAATTTTTTAAAAAAAGGCCTGGTGTGGTGTTGCTTACCTTTAATTGCACTGCAGGGGGGGGGGGCAAAGGCAGGTGGATCTCTGTGAGTCTGAGGACAGCCTGGTCTAATAGAATGAGTTCCAGGACAGCCAGAGGTACAGAATGAGACCCTGTCCCCTGCCCCCCCCCCCAAAAAAGGCCTTAAAATTAGAAAGTTGGGGATGAAAGCTACTGTATCTTTAGACTTTCAACTTCCTGTCTTTTCTGTCAGTCAGCTTTCTTTGCTACTTACATTGTTTGACCTTGTTCTCCGACTTGTGTATGCACAGGGACCGAGGGATTCCAGATTCTGCAGGAGCGGTTCTATTGGGGCAGCTAGGGTCAGGTTTCTACACCATTCAATTAGATGTGGCAAGTATGTGTATGGAAGACTCTCCAGCACTTGGGAAGGTGTTCTCCTAGTAGCACAGACTTTCCTCTACTTACGATGATATTCCTTTCTGATATAACCCACTGTAAACATCAAAGATCACAGATCAAAATGTGTGTAATATACCTGACCTACTCAACACTGTAGCTCAGCAATACAGCACCCCAGATAACATCAGTGGTTTCCCCTTGTGACTGTATGGTTCCCAGTAACTGTGGCAGCAGTTTCCAGCACCACAAGAGGACTACTGAATGTCACTAGCCTGGAAAAGATAAAAATTCAAAATGGGTTCCCTTGGGGCTCCACCTTCAAATTACAGCGTCTGCTGGCCATGCCTTTGTACCATCACAAAGTTAAGACTGTGAGACCACAACAGATAGAAGACTGTGCATGTGGAACATCTTCCTAAGTATATTCTTCCAACAGAGGCCAGGGAGTGGTATGTAGGTGTATCTGGAGAGAAAGGACTTCCCTTGCCCATAAACTTTTATTCCTGTAGCCCCTTCTTCTATCAGGGTTCTTTTCCTCTCTGGACAGTGATCAAACCTTCATTACCTGCTGCATGCATCTCTTGAAGCTTTTTCTTTGACATGTGCTGTTCATATAGTTTTCTTCTCTAATTCAGTGTATATTTTCTCAGCCAAGATATTTTAGCTGGAATAATGTTAGTGTAGTGTATAAAATCCTCTTGGGTCACATGTTCCCAGCTCCCATTTTCTTCTCGGCTAACTTAGGGGCGAGCAGGCACACAACCAACAGTAAAAAGACAACTGACCTGGTTTTGAAGCTTGATTCTGACACCTGCTAGGAAACACAGCTCTGTGAATCTGGTTCTCTGTCAAACAGAAATACTACCTACCATGTATGGTCAATGTGAGGCTTAAAGGAATGAATGCAAGGGAAGTAATCTACCCCGCATTGGGACTTAAGCACAGAAGATACATTTGAAATACCGAGGGCAAAACTAGTAAATACACGAGATATGCTTGACACACCAAAGGCATAAACTATCAAAGCCACGAGCAAGTATGCAGGTGCCCAATCTTGTCTGGGAGCTAGGTGTGTATCTTAACTCACTGTGCAAGGACTCTTACTACAATTCTGTTCACAATGTGGAATCCAAGACAGGTATTGCTATACATTTGTTGAAATTTGAAGGAAAGTTTGATTAAGGCAGCAATTTTGCAGCCTTCAGCTGCTGGTTTTTCCATTTTCTCTCTCGAATGTAAAACCTTAAACGTTGTAACACATTTCATCTAAATTTGTCATTTTCATTTTGCCACAGTATTTGTGTTGCTCTCTTACACCACAACCAAAACTATTTTCAAAAACCCATATTCAGTTTTTGCTAATTCAAAATATTTATACTAAAGCATTTGTTTTCAGAAAACACATTGGACATACCACAAGGTGGCCTCACTACTGCTAAAAATAATTAGTGAGAACAGCTCTATACATATGGATGCTGCATAGAATGAACACCTATGAAAATCTGTGAATTAAAATTTGCATCTTTATACAGTATATGCTTCCCATTTAGTAGTGTAAATTAGGCCTAAACAGTGTCACTTTACATGCGGAAGTTAAAGTTACATAGCCTATTATTATTATTATTATTTTTCTGAGACAGAGTTTTTCTTTGTAGTGTTGGCTGTCCTGGAATTCACTTTGTTGACCAGGTTAGTTTTGAACTCAGAGATCCATCTGTCTCTGTTTCCTGAGTTCTGGGATTAAAGGTGTGAGCTATTCCCAAGAATTCTTTATTAACTACTAAACTGACAGAAAATCAGAGTATGTCAAGACTGCCATTTTTTTTTTTTTTGCGAGTATATAAAACAAATCTGAGTACCAAAACAGTTATTTTTCTCTAAAAAACAAGAAACAAACCTGGTTTCACATTGTTTTTGCTGGTAAACACAAAGACTAACACACAAAATTGTCATTGTGACTTTTTCAAGGCCAAGGTGTCACACTAGTCTTACTATACATGCTGTTCTTTAGATTAGACTAAAATGACACATCAAAAAAGCACAAGCCTCAGGGAAGTACAAAAAATAGCTAACCACTTGATTTTTAGATCAGGTTCCTCTGGTGTCTCCCTTTACATTTTTTAAACTGTTATTTTATATGTATGTGTGTTATTTGCCTTATGTATATCTGTGCAGTGTGGTGCCCAGGGAGGCCATAAGGTAGGCATCGAATCCTTTGGACAGGAGTTACCAATGGCTGTGGCTGCCATGTGGCTGCTGTGACTCAAACTCAGGTCCTCTGGAAGAGCAGCCAATGCTCTTAACCGCTGAGCAATCTCCAGACCCTCTCCCTTAATTTTAAAAACTTGTGACTACTACTCAACACACCCATTTTGTGATTTACAACTTTTATAACCTTGGTAGCACTTGCTTTATAAACTGGATTTGTTCACTGGTGAGATGGCTATGTCTTCATACTATCTGAGTATTTAAATAAGAGCTACTTATTACATGCATCCATTACTTCAGGTTTTTTATTTTCAAAGCACACTAGAAGTTGTGTTCTTATGATTATGACTGATGGTTCTGAGGCACTGATTTAACTATAAGTTTAAGGTTATTCACTCTTTCTCTCCAATTCAAACATCTGTGAAACACCTCCATTCAGTTCTAAATTCGAAAATAATTTTTTTTTAAAAAAGGGCCAGTAAAATGGCTCAGCGGTAAGAGCACCTGCCACCAAGCCTGAGGACTCGGGACCCGCATTAGCGAAAACTGACTCCCCCAAATTGTCATAACGTTAAAAGTTCAAGAATAAAGGGTAACACAGGTGTCACCAGATACCAATGGAAGTTTCCACTGCGACCTAACCCGAACTAAGCAGTGCATATGCCTGACTTGGGATCGGGGCGATCGCTAACCAAAGAAAAAACTTCGTTGTTGGTCCCACGACTAGGAAGTCGCAGGCTGCGCCCTATGTAGGGTCTCGACACATCTTGGAAACTCCTTTCTCTCAAGACTTCCCACGGTTCTCACCCTTCCTAGGGAGAAACTCGCCCGGCGCGGTCGGAAAGGGACGGCGCGCGTCCGTCTACTTCCGCCCCGAGACATGGCGGATCTTTACGTCATGCCGCGGGAGCGCGTTCGATCCCAGGGTGCACCGCGGGTGCGTGCGCGCACGTAGCGCCACTCCCGAACGACCGCGGGAAAATTCCAAACACGTCAAAACAAGAAAGCCACCGTGAGGCCACGCCAGGTTTTCAAGCCGCAGAAGTCGGGCGGTGGCTTCTTTTCCGCCGCGGCCCAATCTGCTGAGGCAGCTCAGGGCGAGGACCACCCGCGGAGGCCGCCATTTCCCGCTGGGACAGAGAAGGCTCGCGAGAACGTGCGCCGAGCCTCGACGTGGGCGAGCCGCGCTCCCGCAGGGCGCGGGGTCCGAGGCGGGAAGGTGAGAAGCCACAGTGGGCTGGCGCGGGCAGCGGAAAGGAGGGGCGGGAGGCGGGGCCGGGAAAGAGGCGTGGCCACAACCCGATAGGAGGCGGGGCTTGGTGGGAGGCGGGGCCGGGACAGGGTAGGAGGCGGGACCAGAGCCCGGTGGGAGGTGGGGCCGACTTGCGGGGCGTGGCTAAGCGGGAGTTGAATCCCGTTTGGCCAAGGCAGAGAGACTGCGATGGGCGGGACCATACTGAAACTTGACCCTGAGGGCGTGGGGTCGACTTCGAGGGGCGGATGTCCAGACGTTAGAGGAGCCGGAGAGGGGCGGAGTCGATACTGAGGGGCGGGGCCTAAGGCCTAAACTGAATCTTGGTGCAGGCCGGAGAGAAGCTGGAGGTGTGCTCCCCGTTATCTCTGGGGCTTCAGCGCAGCCGCAGGTGCTTTTGAAAGGACTGTAGCGAAGGTGAAGCTTATTGCTCGGTACCCATTAAAGCAGTCTGGCCCAGGGTCCCTATGGACGCCCTCCCACAGCTGCGTGAGTGACAGCCTCAAGACATTCAAAGCCTAAGAGGGTTTAGGGGCGCAGTGTGCTGTCTTTTTTTGTAGTTTTTAGGTGGTTGGGCTTGGAGTGAGTGTTCAGAATCTTTGGACAGGCTAAGCAATGTTCCAGCAAGAACCTCTTTGTGCCTGGACTTCTGCTCAAATCTGAGATGATTCAAAAAATTCTGTACCTAGCCGGGCGGTGGTGGCGCACGCCTTTAATCCCAGCACTCGGGAGGCAGAGCCAGGTGGATCTCTGTGAGTTCGAGGCCAGCCTGGACTACCAAGTGAGTCCCAGGAAAGGCGCAAAGCTACACAGAGAAACCCTGTCTCGAAAAACCAAAAAAAAAAAAAAAAAAAAAAAATTAAAAAAAAAAAATTAAAAAAAATTAAAAAAAAAATTAAAAAAATTCTGTACCTCATTGAATGAGTCTAAGCGGACTTGATTGACATACGTTTCCTATTTGTGGATGGTCCTCACCTTTAGGGTGATTCCAAATGGCAGAATTCACGCCATGTTAGCTCACAAATGAAGAACAGGCTGCTGTGTGTGTGGAGGCCAGAGGTGTTTTGAGCAGTGGGCCACCTCTCTTCCCCCTCTTCTCAACCCCTTTTACCTCTCGTCCCCTGCCCTCTTCACATGTGGTCCAAAGTTCACCCGACTTTGCAAGTCCTAGGGTTCTGCCTTTCTCTGCCTCGCCAGTGCTGAGATCACAAGTATGGGCTACACACTGAAAACCTTAACCACCCTCTCCCCAAACAATAAACCAGACCAAAACAAAACACCAAAAAACCAAACCATGCAAGCAAGCAAACAAACAAAAAAACAAAACAACAAGCATGTATTTTCAAAACAACAAGCATGTATTTTGGAGATAGAACTCATGTTCTCATGCTTGTGTGGCAAGCATATTACCAACTGAACTAGCTCCCAAGCTCTGTTCTCAACAAAAAGTGTTATTTTGTTTGGGTGGCTGTGGTGGGTTTGTTGCTGCCCATGTGAAGCTGTGTGAACATTTTAAATGAATGGGGTTCTTAACTGCTTCCATATTTCAGCAAATAGTTCCAGCAACAATTACACAAATCTTGTATTTATAAAGCCAATTCAGGGAGGCCGGCCAGGCCAGTAGGAAGTTGGATGGGCAGTCTAGGCCACAGAGAGGCCCGAAGGAATCTCACATGAGAGATAGGACCACAATAGGAGTTGCAGAGCCTCTATTCAGACCAGAATTCAGGCTGAAATGCTTCTTAAAAATCTTAGTGTAGTTTACAATATACATATTCTCTGTTCCTGTTCATGGTTTCTGATTAGCTAACTTTTTAATATGAAAGAATTCTTATAGACATAATTGAATTTTCAATGATTTACTAAAAATCTAATATTGTTAGAAAAGAGAATACGAAGGTTCCGATAACAATACAGTACTTGAGTGTGGTGTTGGTGTCCCTCCTCCCCCATGGTATCACTGTGTAGCCAGAGGGCTGCCCTGGAACTCACGATGTAGATCAGACTGGTCTTGAACTCACAGAGATCTGCCTGCCTCTGCCTCCTGTGGTGATATATTGTGTACCCTAATAAACTTGCCTGAGGATCAGAGGACAGAGCCAGCTACTAGATTAGACATAGAGGTCAGGCAGTGGTGGTACACACCTTTAATCCTATCACTTGGGAGGCAGAGATGGATCTCTGTGAGTTCAAGGCCACCTTGGGCTACATGGGATTGATCCCGTCTAGGAGAGAAACAGAGCCAGGCAGTGGTGGAACACACCTTTAATCCTATCACTTGGGAGGCAGAGACCCATATGGATCTCTGTGAGTTCAAGGCCACCTTGGGCTACATGGGATTGACCCTGTCTAGGAGAGAAACAGAGCCAGGCAGTGGTGGCACACATCTTTAATCCCAGCACTTGAGATCTCATGCTTTTGCTTGGGAAGCACACACACCTTCAATCCCAGGAAGTAATATGGCAGGGCAGAGGAAGGCATATAAGGCGTGAGGAGACAGGAACTCACTCTCTTTAGGCTGAGGATTTCATAGAGGAAAGAGCTAGTGGCTGGCTGTTCTGCTTCTCTGATCTTTCAGCTTTTACTCTGATATCTGGCTCTGTTTTTTTTTTTAATTTTTATTTATTTATTTATTAAAAGACCACCTAAGATTTGAATAGCAGCCTCCCAAGTGCTGAGATTAAAGGCATGAACCACTACACCTGGCTTGAGTGTTTTATTTTTTGCTAAATGTCAAAAAGCATTATTATTATTCTTTAGACTTAGTTGGAAAAAGACTTTACAAAATTATCTGGGTATCTCTGTTAGGCATTTATTGATTCTTTTAGTTATGCTGAAATAATTTCTCCATTTAGGAACTGTTGTAGATGTAACCAACTGTCTTATTAAATAAGAAACACAGAAACAATGTAAAAGAGAAAGCCGAGAGGTCAGAGCTCAGAGCTAAAATCTCACCCTTCC